CATCAATTCACTTCACAATATTCATATCATCATTGCATTAAAACAACATCATTTTTCATAGCTTTCAAGAGCCAATTTGTGGAGTTTGAAGTTGTTCTTGAGCGTACTTAGTTTACTCATAATCTACTCTATAAGAGAGCCTCGTTCTTGAGTGTATTCGTGTTCTTAGACACTTTGAGAGAAAGTATTTCTCTTAGTTGATACAAATGAAGGGCTTTTCCTTTGAAGGACTCGTTGAGGTTCGTGTAACTCGAACTCTCAAGTTGTAACGGTTTGTTAAGCACCCGCAAGCTTAACGAGATAGTAGTGTAGCTCGAGAGAGTCTCTCGGGAGGCTGGATTAGCCACAAGTTGTGGTGAACCAGGGTAAAATTCGGTGTGCCTCTTACTCTTCTCTTTACTTCTCTTTTAAGTTTTTAATTCCTGCGATTTCTACGATCAAACGCTATTCACCCCCCCCCCCTCTAGCGTTGGTCTTTTATTCTAACACCAAACAGGACCATCCCCCCACTTTGGACATAGTGTGTTTCCCCCGAACACCTCGATTCCCAGCAAGGTGGGACTCATCCCATTTGGGAGTATTATTTGTAATCCTCTTGATGTCCCTTCAATTATTGAGAACAACGAAATGGCCCCTTATCTGAAATGTGGATAAATCAGATGATTATGTCTCTACTGCCCCTCCCAATGAAGCTGCAAGTGACTACTTGGAACCCCACCTTGGTGATGCACACAGTATACCCCTTGGGGATAAACTGGATGGCACACAAGACAGTTCCAAAAATGGGGATGATGATATTCTTTCTGACCCAAATGTCCCTATGAACAACCGTATCGGGGTGTTATCTGACCCTTTGATTTTTGCTATTTTTGAGCATGAACAGGTCTCTCCCAGCCCCCAACAGATTGAGGAAGCATATTCAGTAAAGAAGTCCAAGATGTCAACTCAAAGGAAAAGACCCCTCTAGTGGATGGCCTTGTTTCTAACACTAATGGCGAGCCAAAGCTTGTGTGCGATGGATACATCGGAGGCTTTTTGTTCCTCGGGCCACCATTATATTCCACATTCACCTTGGATCCTAGATTCTATTTGGATCTCACCATCTTCTTATTTTTTTCGTTTTATGAGTGAGATTGATTGATTGTATGGATTCTCAATTCTCTTTGTGTGTAGCGAGACAGTACACAATCTGTCCATGTACTTTTTCTTTCGTTTCAATGGAAGTGTTTATTTTTTTATGTCCATATAATTGTTTGAAACAACGGTTATTTGATTGTTGTATAAATTTTGCCCGAAAGTATGAAAGTAAAGTTAGAGAGCGTATACATTTTCATTGTAAAAAAGATTACTGTTTCTCCAAACTTTTAAAATAGTTGTAGGCTTAAGAGCTAGACTATTGTTTAAAATGAGTATTCTTAACTTATTACTCCCTCCGTCCAGTAATATTCTTCCCGTGTTGACTTGGCACGCTTATTAAGGAATAGTAAAAAATGCAAAATTTTCAAAAATGCACATACTATAAACTTTTAAATCGCCTTTTATTATTAAAAAAGTATTAAAAAAGTAGATTTGTGATCAAATAGAAGGGTATTATTGATATTTATCCTTAAAAAGTATACTAAAAAAGGAAATGGGAAGAATATTTCCGGACGGACCAAAAAGTTGTACGCTTAATACGCATAATTCTCTTAAAAACAATTTTCTTTACTTATTATAGATAATAGTGAAAAAAATTGGTGTGACACACACTACTAAGAATACATTACGATTTCTCAAAACTTTGAAAATAGTTCTAGGCTTAATACTCTAACTATTGTTTAAAAAGGGTATTCTTAATTTATTATAGACAACTTGTAATAGATTACGGTTTCTATGAATTTTAAAAACAGTTCTACGCTATATAAATATACTCCTGATACAAGGGAGTCTTCTATTTTTATAATAAACAACTATGCAAAAAAAACCATATGAAACATACAATTAACAATAGATTACTATTTCTTATAAGTTTAAAAACAGTTATAAACTAAAAAACCAGACTACTGTTTAGAAATAGTAGTCTTAACTAATTATTGACAACTGTGGCAACAAAAACTGTATTTTTAGATGAAACACACTACTAATAATAGATTACTGTTTCTCACAACTTTAAAAATAGTTCTACCCTTAATTCATAGACTACTGTTACAACAGAGTCTTCTATTCCTATTATAAACAACTGTGGCAAAAAAACAATATGAAACAGACAACTAGCAATAGATAACCGTTTCTAATAAAATTAAAAACAGTTCTAGACTTATAAACCATACTACCATTTAAGTAGAGTATTCTTAACTTGTTATTAACAACTGTTATAACAAAAACTGTATTTTGAACTGACACAGACAACTAATGATAGATTACCGTTTCTCGAAAGTTTAAAAATAGTTTAAAGCATATTAGCTAGACTACTGTTCTGTAGCCAAGAAAAACTCACAGTAGTCTATTTTTTTTAACTACTGTGTTTTCATAAATAGTAGTTAATCAACACTCGTCTGATACTATTTTTGGCGTAGTGTTTTTTGACCTACTCATAGGTGACTTCTTAGACCACCCATTTTAAAGCTCTCATAATATACTTTCTATGTCCGGCAATATTTCTCACTTTTTGAACAGTGTATATAATTTCATCACTTTTAAAATAATACTAACTATAAGTTGGTGTAAAATAAAAACTATAAATTACACCGTTCAAAAGTACATTAAAACTTGTACACCCTCCGTTCAAATTTAAGTTAATGTTCACCAGTTATTCACATGGTCAAACGTTAACGACTTTCATAACCTATTTACGGTACTCATTTATAAAATAATATAATTCTATGACATTTTGCTTTATAAAATTTTAGATGTAGTTTTTAAATATATTAAACTTAAATTAAAAACCCATACCAATTTTTATATAAAATGAATCGAAAATAATTTCAATCAAACATTGTAAATTGAAATAGACAATTTAAATTAGGACAGATGGAATACAAAACAAGCTAAGATATAACAAGAATATTTTGTTTATCAAATGATCAATGAGAACGTACAAACAAACAAAAGTTACTGAGAGGCCCTAATAGTGTGTACCAATGATAAACATTGTGGGACGAAGGGAGTATCTAAGAGGAAAAAAAATTAAATAAGAGTAAAACATAGAGAAAGTATTAACGTAATAGCCTAAAAATAGGCCTATCAGATTCGATCAATTAATACCTAAATAATTGCTTTGATGGACTTAAAAATAAGTAGTTTATTAAGTTCGTCAATTAGTTTGGAAAAATATGTGAAGTACTATTTTCTAAAGTTTGAATAATTGATCGCAGCGGTGCAATCAGACTTTAGTTTGTAGAAAGTTAGGACAAAAAATATGTCCCAATTGAAATAAGCTATCATACTATAGCACTGATTAAATACATTGATCAGATTTTTTGTATCCACCTATCAATTCGCAATTAGCACTCGACGCACGAGTCTACTTTGCAAGCTTATATCTTCACTTCTCATCTCAATGATTCTTCATCATTCTTCCCCATTCCAAGCGTGAGAGGTAGTTGAAAGTTCAAAGAGTAAGGAGATATTATTTAGAGAGCTTGAGGTCGCTGAAGATAGCCGTGGTTGTTGCCAGAAGTTTCATCGTTCAATTACGGTTTACTTCCAATTAAACTTTGAGGTGAGACCATAGATATATCTGATTTTGAAATATGCATGTAGATCATTCATATATTCATAAACGATGATTACGGTTTAGTTTTGTGTCACAAAAATATGAATATAGTTTCAATGAACTCATAATCACCAACTCAATTTTTTGTTGTTAAAACTTCGAAGTAAGCAACCTAAAATGATTTATGTAGGTTAGAAAACATGTATATATGGTTTAACTTAAGTTTAATGACCACAAACACTCCCTACAAACTTTGGACTCAAGAAGAAGACAAAAGTTGTTCATCTCTGTGACTTTGCGACATGATAGCGGTAGCATGGTAATCTGTCACGGTAATGGCCTACTGCCAACCGCTGCTGCCACCATAGCCTTCAATAAGTCATTAGATAGTGACAGTGGTTGACTACCACCAGAAGGCGAAAATATTTTAGAATTTAAAACTGATGGTCGGTAGCCTACGACAATGTGATGGTAGCTAAGTATCGCCAACTGGTGCAGAAGTATCGCTACTGTTACAAAGCAAAGAAATATGTACTTAATGTTTCATTTAATATGGAGTATCAAGGATGGACTCTAAGACTTTGTTGTGTTGTATTTAGGTGCCCTAGCGGCAATCAAATACCTATGTAATTATATACTTTATCATAAATGCAAGGTCTTGAAGTATGTTTTATATCCCGTGTAACATAACATAGCTCCAGGGCAAAGACGATAGTGTTTCAGTAACATAGATGACGACTACGATGTTCTGATTATGAGACTGTTACTTCTTGATGAAGGCTATGTCTAGAATATCCCTAGTCGCACTTTATGATAATACGGACGTCATAATGTATCAAGACTAGTACGTACGAGATGAGATAGTTGCATCTTATAGACTATAGGTATTCTGATATCTTAATCTGTACGTAGGTGCATATTATATCGATAATATGTGACTGGATTGACCCACCTTGAGAATACGTCATGGATCTACAGTAATGTGTTTATCAGTAATCTCAATTCGACCTTGTTATAACTATCCTCAGACTTGAAGTTATTACATGCTCTGATATGTGGGGTTGTATGCTTTGATTCATAAATAATGCCATCTGAAATAGTAGTAGACGTAGAGTTATGTGTTGGGTATGCTGCTAAGCATATTTAGAGATGTGAATAACAGATATAAGATCTATCCCTTCTACTATATTGAAATATAATGCCAATGGGCCTACTAAATAGTAGGACTTGGGAAAGTGCATGGCCATGCACAGATATGTCGCTATCCAGAGACTGATAAATATCTGATCCCTGCCAGTCTATTTGAGATTCAGTAACAGCTGATTTAACTATACAAGGATGCACATCCCAAGCCTTGTTTTAAATCATGACATTTAGGACAAAAGGATAATGGTTATAGAACGTCTTGTGTCGTAGAAGGTATTGATGAGATGAACGTCTTTTTCATAATCTGGGGTAATAATATGTAGCTAGATACTGCTTATTATATATGGTATTAATTTATGTTAATATCATTGCCAGTGTTATGGATACATAAAGGGTCACACACTTAGGAATTGTAGGGGAGTAATATACTAAACTAGTGCTAATAATATTAAATATATAGTTGTGATAATTTTATACATACATACATACATACATACATATATATATATATATATATATATATATATATATATATATATATTGTTCGGAGTTTTCAACGAGTTTTGGACTCTAAATATCTTGTTTTCCGCTGCGTTATCCAAGCCTCGTTTCCCAACAGTGGTATCGGAGCCAGCTTACGAAGTTACTAGTTTAGTAGTTTTTACCGTTATCGTTTTTGTAGATTAGTCAATAAATTTTGGAGACAAAAATTATCCCATTATAAAATTTGATTAGGTGACAATATTCACATACTGGACCTAATATAATTTTATTTAGTAGTTTTCGGAATTACTGTTTGGGGTATTTTTTTATTATTTTTATTAAGTAGTTTTTGTGTAGAATACTTGTTATTTGTGCCATAAATACTTAATAATTATGAAAATTAGATTTTATATTTTCTGGAATGTTTTTGACATTTCCATATAACTCAGGAATTTTAAAATCCATTTTTAGAATCAGTTTCCTATTTTTCTATTTTTAAATACATTTATTGAATAGAAAATAGGAAATATTATTTTTGACTATCAAAAATTAATTTTAATTTGTAATAAGTTGCGACCAGATATTTTAAGCTTGTATAAAATATTTCATACATTGTGAGCACGTAAAAGTATTTATTTTGTATTTTTGAAATAATTAGATCGGTACTATTCACTAGTCCGATTTTTAATTATTTAAAATTTCAAAATTAATATTTTGTATTCTTTAAAATTAATATTCTGGTCCTGGAACTTATTTTTGACTTGAAAATTTTTTTTTTTATATTTTTTGAATTCCGAAATATATTTTAACAATGTTATTTCATTTTTCTAGCTATGAAAAATGGTTTTTAAAATTATAAATTTTATTCATTCTAGAATTTTAGGATTTACAGATTAATAAAGTTTACTGGGAGTCTCCAATAATTATTTTCTAATTTTGAAAAACATATATGTATTTAATTCGAAATGTAGATGGCAAACAACAACAACACAAACAACCTCACCCTGCGTTCCATTCGGGAAAAGGAAAAATTGAATGGAACAAACTTTGTTGACTGGCAACGCAGTATCTCCATTGCTCTCCGCATGGATGAGAAAGACTATGTGCTCGAAAAGCCCCTTCCTCATGCCCCTCTCGCTAACACCCCAAAAGCGGTTAAAGATGTCTATGAGAAACACGTTAAGGATGACAACTGGGTTAGCTGTGTCATGCTGGCAACCATGACATCTGAGCTACAAAAACAGCACGACTACATGAAGGCCCACGCCATGAAGGGCAATCCAGACATGAACATTTCTTGTGAGTAAGGCTCTCTTCAGTTACAAGCTCTCTTCAGGGAACCCGGTCGGTCCGCACGTTCTCAAAATGATTGGTTACATAACCAATATGGAGAAACTCGGGTTCACCTTGCAGAAGGAGCTAGCAATGGACCTGATCCTGTAATCACTCCCCGAGCTGTACAAGGGGTTCCTCATGAACTACATGATGCACAATCTTGACAAACCCCTTGCGGAGCTTCTTAAGATGCTCTAGATTGCATAGGAGAACCTTACTAAGGGCAAGGGAGCTTCCGTCCTTATGGTCCATGACGAAAAGGGGAAGCCGAAGAAGGGGATTAAGATTAAGGCTAAGACGATCGGAAAGCCTAAATCAAAATCTACTTCGTCTGCAACCTAGAAACCCATAGGAGGAATTGCAAAGGGCAAATGTTATCACTGTGGTAAGGCAGGCCACTGGAGGAGAAACTGCAAGACATACCTTGCAACCAAGAAGAAGAAAGGTACGACCATTTTTTCTGAGGTGTATGTTATAGAAGTTAACATGTCTATATCTTCATCATGGGTACTAGATACTGGATGTCGGTCTCATATTTGTACTACCATGCAGGGATTAAAGCAGAGTAGACGGTTAGCTCGATGCGAGATTGAACTCCGAGCCGGCAATGGTGCACCTGTTGCAGCTTTGGCAATCGGAACTTATAGTTTAGTCTTTCCTAGTGGTCTTATGTTGGAATTAAATAATTGCTTATACGTTCCTGCAATTAGCATAAATATTATTTCTGTTTCATGTCTTGATAAAAGTGGTTCCATCATTTCTATTAAAGACAAGTCCATTTCTGTTTACAGAAACAATGTTTTCTATGTTAATGCAAACATGACCAATGGGGTATATGTCCTTGACTTGGACCTTCATGTCTATAACATATCTACCAAGAGGAACAAACGAACGGTTTGAACCAAACATACATATGGCATTGTAGGTTAGGCCATATAAACAAGAAATGCATATCCAAGCTACATCGGTCGAGAATGCTGGAGTCATTTGATCTTAAATCATATGACACATGCGAATCTTGTTTATTGGGTAAGATGACCAAGTCTCTTTTCATCGGACACGGTGAAAGAACCGGTAATCTTCTAGCACTCATGCACAATGATGTGTGCGGGCCTTTCAATAAAACTGGACCAGGTGGTTATTCATACTTCATCACATTTAATGATGACCTCAGTAGATATGGCTATGTGTATCTCAAGAAACACAAGTCAGAATCCTTTGAAATGTTAAAAGAATTCAGGAGTGAAGTTGAAAAAAACTTGGCAAAAGTATTAAAACACTACGATCCAATCGAGGTGGAGAATACTTAAGTAATGAGTTCCATGACTATCTTAGAAAGAATGAGATCTTATCCCAACTTACACCTCCTAAGACTCCACAATGGAATGGTGTCTCCGAAAGGTGGAATCGAACCCTACTTGACATGGTTCGTTCTATGATGGGTCATTCGACCCGACCAGAATCATTTTGATGGTATGTGCTGAGCACTGCAATATATACTCTTAACCGAGTTCCAACTCAGGCGGTTGAAGGAACACCATACCAGCTATGGACGGGCAAATGCCCGGTTCTACCACACTTAAAGATTTGGGGCTGTGAGGCTTATGTCAAACGTCTTATGACAAATGGCAAGCTTGACGCTAAATCTGATAAGTGTTTCTTCGTGGGATACCCCAAGGAAACTCGAGGGTATTCATTCTATCACCCTATCAATAAGAAGGTATTCGTTGCTCGCAATGGTGTCTTCCTCGAGAAGGAATTTCTCTCTAACGCAACTAGTGGGAGAAAGATAGAGCTCGAAGAAATTTGAGACGATGAAGAAACTACCATGCCAATTCAGGAACATGAGCTAGAGGAACAAACTGTTGTACCTCAAAATGCTGAAGATACATAAGAACCCCGTAGGTCTAACCGGTTGCGCACACAACCTGAAAGGTATGGATTCATCCTAACCTTTGAGGGTGATGTAATGCTTATCGACCAGGATGAGCCGGAGACCTACCTCGAGCTAATCAGTTATCCCGAGGTTGAGTAATGGCGTTATGCCATGCAGTCCGAAATGGATTCCATGTACACTGATAAGTCCGTTTTGTAAGAACTTATGTTCTCGATATTTAATGTGCTATTGTCCAATTTTGGATTAAACAAATCAATTTCTCAATGGTTTTACAAGTTTTATTTATAATTGTAAAATGCACAAAGGTTATGTCTTGTTGTAAAAAGAATAAAAGTTGGGTCAAAAGTGTTACAAAAAGTGTAAAAGATTGTGCAAATAGAATGCAATAGAGCAAAGAGATAAAAGATGGTGAAAATCAATGGAGTGAATGTGTATAGTGAATTGTGGCGATGCATTCCGTCAAAAGATTTGAGGTCAAACAGATTGAAAAAGTATCAAAAAGAAATTGTTTGAAGTTAAAAATTTAAAAAAATGATTTAATTCAAAGTTAATTTGTTTGACCAAAGTTAGTTCGAAATTCGAAGTCGGTGTAGAAGAAAAAGTTGTTCAGAGTTAATTTTGAACAAGATAACATTTCTTAAAATAAATTTCGAGCTATTTCGCTCCTCCATTCTGAAATAACCTCATCTCTGGGTCTTTAAGGCCCAGAACTCCTTTTTCCGCTCTTTTCTCAGTTATATTCTAATATTTTAGTTTAGATTTGTTCCGGTTGTTCCAAAGTGGCCCCAACTCTGCTGACGGTTGTAAGTTTATTTTTTTTTAAATGTTTTTTACTTTATGCATTGTTAATATCTAGTATGGGTTAGGACCTAGATTAAGGTCCTGGCTAAATTTGGGCATATACTCTGTATGTTTATTTAATAGTTAGAATAATTGTTCTAGAATTATTTTTATTGTTAAATTAATTAATTATGTCGAGAGAATAATTAATTAATAATTGGAAATTAGTTTTTGCCTTGTAATTAATTAAGCCAAACTTTTCAGAACACATTAATGTTGCCTTAAGAGAGGATAAGTTAATGAAATATTTGTGACAGAAACATTATTATTCTAATTATTGATTAAATATGTGACAACTGTAGTTAAGCCAGATGATGCCTTAGTCTGGAGTCTTGTCCTATACCCGTACTATTTATTTTATTTTTCTCAAAAGCACCCAGTAGTTTTGTTTATTTTTATTTTCAAATCGAGAAGACTTTCAGACCCATCTTACCCTTCGTCTAGTTAGAAAAATTAACTAATTCCCTTCGTCCACTCCTCGAGAGACACGACACTCGGAGAAAACTGACCCTTAATTGGGAACGTTGACTTACCAAAAAACTCAATCATCATACACCAACCAAGTATGGACTTTGGTTGATGCATCCGAAGGGATCAAACCCATTGGGTGCAAATGGGTCTTCAAAAAGAAGACTGACATGGATGGTAAGGTACAAACCTTCAAGGCACGATTGGTAACAAAAGAATATCGTCAAATACATGGTATCGACTATGACGAAATAATTTCTCTAGTTGTCATGATTAAATCCATTTGGATCTTACTTGCTATCGTATAGCATACCACGATCACGAAATCTGGCAAATGGACGTCAAAACGGATTTCCTTAATGGAAACATCCTTGAGGATGTCTTTATGACACAACCTGAAGAGTTTTGCGCTCCTGAAGAATTTACCAAGGTATGCAAGTTGCAGCGATCAATCTACGGATTAAAATTATCCTCATGGAGTTGGAACATCCGCTTTCACGAAACCGTCATCGGCTTTGGTTTTGAAAGAAATTCGGATGAATCTTGTGTATTCCAGAAGGTTAGTTGGAGTGTTGTAGTCTTCCTTACTATGTATGTTGACGACATACTGCTCATAGGAAACGATATTCCTACTTTAACCACCGTCAAAACATGGTTGAGTAAGAGTTTCTCTATGAAGGATTTGGGAGATGCCAGTTATGCACTTGGCATAAGAATCTATAGAGATAGATCACTTAAGCTGTTAGGTCTCAGTTAAAGTACATACATAAACAAAGTCCTCGCTAGATTCAGCATGTCTGAATCGAAACGAGGAAGTTTTCCTATGGTCCAAGGCACGAGTCTTTCCAAAACTTAGGGTGCTTCCACTCTAGAGGAAGTAGAACGCATGAGAAATGTTCCTTATGCGTCGGCCATTGGATCCATCATGTATGTGATGGTATGTACGAGACCTGATGTCGCCTTTGCTCTGAGTGTCACGAGTAGATACCAGTCCAAAGACATTTGTGAAGAACATCCTTAAGTACTTTCGTAGGACTAAGAATGCCTTCCTAGTATATGGCGGAAAAGAAGAGCTTAGTATTGTCGGATATACTGATGCCAACTTCCAGACTGATAGAGACGACTTCAAGTCGCAAGCAGGGTATGTGTTTTGTTTGAATGGCGGAGCTGTTACCTGGAAGAGTTACAAGCAAGACACTACCATTGATTCCAGTATAGAAGCAGAGTACATGGCTGCAGTCGAGGCAGCCAAGGAAGGTGTGTGGCTCAAGAATTTTATTACTGAGCTTGGAGTGGTACCTAGCATCAAGAACTCTATACCGTTGTTTTGCGACAACAATGGGGCAATTGCACAAGCGAAAGAACCTTGGCCTCACCAGAAGACCAAACACATCGCTCAGACGTTATCACATCATACGAGAAATCATTGCACGTGGGGATGTTGAAATTTGCAAGATAGGTACAGACGACAATATTGCGGATCCGTTGACAAAGGCTTTGGGAAAGCCTAAACACGAGAGTCATACATGGTCCATGGGCGTTCGAGAAATGGTTGATTGGCCTTAGGGAAAGTGGGAGATTTTTGTATTTAGGTGCCCTAGTGAAAATCAAATACCTATGTAACTGTACACTTTATCATGAGTGAAAGGTCTTGAAGTATGTTTTATATCTCATGTAACATGACATACCTTCAGTCCATAGACGATAGCGCTTCAGTAACATATATGAGGACTAAGATGTCCTGATTATGAGACTGTTACTTCTTGACGAAGGCTATGTCTAGAATATCCCTAGTCACACTTTATGATAATACGGACGTCATAGCGTATCAATACTAGTATGTACGAGATGAGATAGTTGCATCTCATAGACTATAGATATTGTGATATCTTTATCTGTACGTAGGTGCATATTATATCGACAATATGTGACTGATATGTGGGGCCGTATGCTTTGATTAATAACTAATGCTATCTGAAATGCTGGTAGACGTACAGTTATGCGTTGTGTATGCCGCTAAGCATATTTAGAAATGCGAATAACAAATATAGGATTTGTCCCTTTTACTATATAGAAGTATAATGCCAATGGGCCCACTGAAAAGTAGAACTTGGGAAAGTGCATGACCATGCCCAGATATGTCACTATCTAGAAACGGATAAATATCTATTCCCTGCCAGTCTATTTGAGATTCAGTAACAGCTGATTTAACTATAAAATGATACACATCACATGCCTTGTGTTAAATCATGACATTTAGGAGAGAAGGATAATGGTTATAGAACGTCTTGTGTAGTAGAAGGTTTTGATGAGATGAACGTCTTTTTCATAATCTAGGGGTAATAATGTGTTGCTAGATACCACTTATTATATATATGGTATTAATTTATGTTAATATCATTGCCAATGTTATGGATAACTAAAGAGTCACACACTTAGGACTTGTAAGGGAGTAATATATTACACTAGTGGGAGTAATATTAAATATATAGTTGTGATAATTACATATATATATATATATATATATTGTTAAATATGTAACGTATATATCATCACATATTTAATATTATTGTTATATTTGGTAAATTCCTTGATTGTATAGGATTTGTATTTAATATTGTTTCATTTCCTATATACCTCCTACATGTATATAAGGGGAGGTGATTTACTTGCAATCATTATCGAATAATACAGTTCTTCATGGTATCGGAGCCAACCCTAGGCTAACACCGATACGCTTTCTCTCTCGGTGCCGCCGGCCTTGTCTCACCCAGCGCCGTCCTCCCTCTCTCGGTCTTCCTCTCTCTCTCGTCGGCCAGCCCCCTCGGCAACCAGAAGCCCACCCCCATCTCTCTTTTTGGCAGCCGAAAAATCAACCTCTCCCTCTACCCCTCATCTTGCCTTCACCACCGTTTCAAACGTCAATCTCCAGGTTCCCATAACCCTCAGTTTCTCAGAACCAAATTACAAAAAAATGGAGTCGTCTCTTTCTTCTATTAGTTTGGCGCTTCAATCTCGAAGGTTTTCTCACCAGTGCAACAACCTCCATCGGCAAAGATGATGTTGATTGGTTGCAACTTGATGCTCTCATTCAAGAATGGATTCTATCTACCGTTAATGACGAAGTTTCGGATCTCATTATCTACTCCACCACCTCTACCGCGGATCTTTGGAAAGCCATTCATAATTTGTTTCACGATAATAAAGCCGCTCGAGCCATGCAATTGGAGCAACGCTTCTACAACACCATCAAAGGCGCATCCACTATCGCCACTTATTGCCAAACTTTGCGGAATATAGCCAATTGGTTAGATGACGTGGATGCCCCGGTAACGGAGAATCAGCTCATCTTGCAAACCTTATGTGGCCTTCCCAAGGATCTCGGCTCCAGGCGTCCTTTCTGCAATTCCAAAAACCCCCCGCCGATTTTCATGGAGACCCGATCTGCACTTCTCCTCCTCGAAGGACAACGTTGCCCACAAACTGCTCCTTGCGACGAGGGAACTGCCCTGGGCACCCTCGGCCACGGTGGACATGCCGGTTTCCGGCAGCAGGGCCGCGGTGGTGCGCCTGCAGGTGGCGGGCAGCAGGGCGGCAGTGGACAGCACTATAGCGGACAGCTTCATGGCGGACAACCTCAGGGCAACGGCGGACGCGGGTACGGCTATGGTGGACGCGGTGGACAACCGAACCGCGGTCACGGTTGAGGTCGTAACTTTGGATCCAACTCCTAGACTACTCCAACGAATTTTAGACCCTGGCAAACCCCTTACCAAAACCCCGGCCCAGGCCTACTGGGCCCACGCCCTACCCCCCCATCCCTTCCCTACCCAGGCCCACTTCACCTCCCCCACTTACCTATATCAGCCCACCCCTCTACCCAACCACTACCCACACC